GACATCAGAGACAAAGAAAACAAAGAGGAAGTGGGGCCGCAATTTCTGTGGCTGGACGTCACATGAAGCGGAGGAGCCATCGACATCAGAGACAAAGAAGAAGAGGAAGAACGGGGCGTCGAGCTCTGAGCCGGACAACAAAAGGTGGTTCAAGACCAAGATTTGGAGAAAGAAGAAGGCCAAGAACAAACAGTTGGCAACCCTTGTGAAAGAGATTTCACTCCCAAGTAATGCCCTCCATCATCTTATTATCCATCTTTGCAGAGAAACTAAATTCAGCAATGCATGTCAATATCAAATTTATCAATGAATATTTGCCCAACACAGATATGTGACGAGCACTCAGGTACTTACATAGGAAATCTGGTGGTAAGAATGTTTAGTTCAAATACATTGCAACAACAAGTTAGTGATGTTCAGGATAGTTGTATGTGCATTGCCCTCTTCTTGGACCTACTTTCACCCTGAAATTTGTAATCCTGGATTAGTAATTCATGTTTGGGCGATTAAGTAAGCATTTCTGATTGAGAAGAAATCTTAAAATGCAGATAGTCCCAAGGCCAGGGCTGCGGCAGGGGAAATACTACGGATCGGCAACCACAACATTCCTAGCAGAGTGTTTACGTACAGTCAACTGTCAGACGCGACCAATTCTTTCAGCCAGGAGAATCTCCTGGGAGAAGGTGGCTTTGGAAGGGTGTACAAAGGATACATTCCAGAGACCATGGAAGTAATAAGCATTCCTTCTCCCAGCTTCCTGTTCTATGTTTCATTAAGTTGGCACCTCAAGATGCTATGCTACATACAGCAGCAACACCTTCCTGATGTAAATTATGTGCGTACGTAGGTCATAGCGGTTAAGCAGCTGGACAAGGATGGGTTGCAAGGAAATCGTGAGTTCCTTGTCGAGGTGCTGATGCTTAGCCTCCTTCATCACCCAAACCTTGTCACCTTGCTCGGTTACTGCACCGAATGTGACCAAAAGATTCTAGTGTATGAGTATATGCCACTCGGTTCTTTACAAGATCATCTCCTAGGTAATACAGAACAATAATGTTGTGGTTCTCGAACATATTCCGCAGAACTGAAAAATCTGAAATTATGATAGCACATTTGTATCGATGCTGATTTGGTACTTGAATTCTGCAGATCTCACTCCAAAATCTCAGCCGCTGTCCTGGCATATGCGGATGAAGATTGCAGTTGATGCTGCCAGAGGCCTCGAGTACTTGCATGAGGTAGCCAATCCACCGGTGGTATACCGTGATCTCAAGGCATCAAATATTCTCTTGGACGGGAACTTGAGTGCAAAGTTGGCAGATTTTGGCCTTGCAAAGCTTGGCCCAGTCGGCGACAAAACTCATGTCACCACAAGGGTGATGGGCACGTACGGATACTGCGCTCCCGAGTACGCCATGAGTGGCAAGTTAACAAAGATGTCAGACATATATTGCTTTGGTGTAGTTTTCTTGGAGCTCATCACTGGGAGGCGAGCAATCGACACCACGAAACCAACTCGCGAGCAAATTCTTGTCCACTGGGTAAGACTTATATCTACTTGACCAAGAAATACTATAGCCTTGAAATTTTCACTTGGTAGTCATATTGGATTGTAGTCCCTCTGTCCCAAAATAAGTGACTCAACTTTGTAGTAACTTTATATTTTGGGACGGAAGGAGTAATAACCAAGTAAAACAGCTCATACTTGAGATATACAGATTGCCCATACGGTTTGGCATTAAGATGCTGCTATATCTGCAGGCAGCGCCACTCTTCAAGGATAAGAAGAAGTTCACCAAGATGGCTGATCCAAAACTTGACAGCAAGTACCCCTTAAAAGGTCTATACCATGCACTTGCAATTTCATCAATGTGCCTACAAGAAGAAGCAAGCAGTCGTCCACTAATCAGTGATGTGGTGACGGCCCTTACATTTCTTGCTGATCCAAACTATGACCCTCCAGATGACATTGAACCTCTACCTATAACAGTTCCCGATTTCGACAGAGGAATTAGCCTAGGCGAACCTGAAGAGGTCAAAGAAAAGTTTGAGGGAAAACAAGTAGAGGATAGCTAAAATGGCTCGTGAGACGAACAGATGGTGAATCAAGCCAGCAAAGTTTGTAGGGGTGCAGATGGAGGCGCCGCAGGCCTTGTATGATATCTCTGTTTGTAATGTACAGCACATATAGGAAGGATGTAACAGCATATGACGTTCTTGAATGAGATTGACTTGGGTTCTTCGATTAGGCATAACCAAATTTTCAGCAGCAAGATATTCTGGCTGGTGCGAAAACTGAGCCAGTGATTGATGGCAAACTCACTAAATTGTGATCAGCGACATTTACTTTAATGCTTTTATTAGTTGCATGAAGAAGACTAAAATTAAGATATAACTAGTGTCAAACGGCTGCACATCTGACTTGGTAGAAATAAGATGAAATGGTGTATGAAGCACTAGTCACAATATACCAAACAATGTTTAATTTATTTCTTTAATTGCAAAAAACAAACAATGGTAGTTGTGGTACAAAATTTTCCCCACTTCTCATAGAAACAGTATTTGTTTGGTTTTATTGTTAACAATATATATAATCAACGGATATGCAACGATAAACAGTCCCAAATATTAGCCTTTCTAGTACTATTTAAGAGTAAAGCAGCTCGAGATAAACAGTACTCCCTACAAAATGTGTGCCTCTTCAGATGTGTCGTCAAGAGGGTGCTCAGAGCAGAAACTAACCGCGCCATCCGAGTAAATCGGCGGCCGTATTGCAGTCCAAAACAATGGACTGTGACAAGCAATACTCAGGAACTACTCCAGGCAATGCCTGGTTTCCACTTTCCACGCCAGTTAAAGTTGGCACCGAAGCTAGTACTGCTTTCTCCTGATGCCAAACCCATATATACCAGCACCGTCAGTACAGTACAGTACAGTGCAGTGCAGTGCAGCACCACGGGAGAAATCTGAGCGCACCTGCCGGGCCCGTGAAGCAGCGAGGAACAAGTACAGCCACGGCGGCGCCGGCGCCGGCGAGCGGCCGCGCACGGGCACGGGCATGGTTTGCCACCGGACACACGACGCCGTGCCGGGAGGGAGAGAATGCGAACGTAGCGGCGTAAGCTAGCGACGTGGGCAGGACAAATACCTTGCGCTGCCTGCCACTAGTCGGGCGGCGAGCGGGGAGCGGACGGGAAGCTGCGCCGCGGTCTTCTGCCGGCGGGGCCGCGTCGCCGACGAGAGGGCGGAGGGGGTAGCGCCGGACCGGCCGTGCGGTGGTTGGGCCTGACAGACGGGGGCCTGCGCTGCCGAAAATATCAAGATGGGCCAGCTAGTTCCGGGCTTTGCTTTGAGGCCGGGAAGCCGAGATTAAACTGGCCCGGCCATGAGCGATAGATATCTTTGTCTCAAAAAGTGAGCGATTAAACTAAAAAAAAAGTGAGCGATTCATCATTGAACTCGATTCTGAAAGAAAAGATATTTCACCTAAAAAAGAGAGCGACAGATATTTCTGCTGTTGCTGCTGCTGGTTTCTCTCGCCGTTTTTCTCATGCACGGTCAGCAGAAAAAGACAGACTTTATCGAGAGAAATTAAAAAGAGAGCGAAAAATAGAGGCGGAAAACTACGTGGCAGCTGCACAAAGAAGGACGTTTCACCGTAGCTGTCACCAAAGCTGGAGCACGAAGCCCACACACAGAGAGGTCGCCCTCGCCTCGCGGCCTCGTGCAAGCCATTACATACAGCAGCTGTATTTCTGTCTCTGTTTTTTCTTCTGAATAAAATATCTCCAACGCCTTTCGATATTTTCAGTGGAATGAAACGGCCCAGGGTTTTGAACTGAGCCACGGCGTGAAATACGTATCTCCTTCATTGAATCAGTATAGATACAGTGATGGCGATCACAAAATATCCTCCTCCGGGAGAGTTGCATCGGATCCTCCCTGCGTGCGTGTTTCCTCGTGCGATCGTGTCCTTGCAGCGCCCATTAAACTGTACAATTCGAGTAGTAAATTGGGTAGTTAATGCGGCTAATTACGCACTTCACATGTTGGTTCATGCGTCGCGCGCACAACCACCGGCCGGCCGGCCTCTGTGCATGAATGAATGAATAGTCTTTGGGAACCAGTGACGGTCAATGCCGATGCCGTGCTTAATTGGAGGCCGGCCGGTTTGCTCCTCATGTGATGGCATGGCATGGCATGCCACCCACTGACTGGACTTGGTAAGCTGGAGCACATGGCCACCGGCTTTAGTTTAGCGGATGCGATCAGTACTCTAATCCACCTAATCTAGCCATCGAATTAAGAGAGATGTCGAAGAAGATTACAATATTGTTGGTCGACATGGGTTGCCACTTGCAGTTCAAGTGGTGATGAAATGAACCCCTGTGACTACCTCTCTTTTTTCCCTTTTTGATTGAAAGCAGGGAGGGAGTCTGCGATTAATAATTATCGTCTGTGGAAGGATATTCTGCAGATCTTTGCAGTATACGTATTCTCTGCTAATGATAACCCATTTACTCTGCTGGTCGATCAAGCTGGCCAGGTCTGGGGAATCTGGTGAGGGCATCTCCAGCCGTTCGGCCCCCAGGGCGCCTAAATAGAGCGGCCTGGGGGCGTGCCGGCGCTAGTTCGGCCTCTGGGGACGATCTAGCTCCCAGTCACGCCCCCACGCGCCGGCCCCAGGATGCGGGAAATTCAAACTTGGTCGTTCCCGCTCTCAAAAGACGCCGTAAATCCGGCGATCGGACGTAGTTTGGCGTTACAAAAAACAGAGGGCCGCTGTGCGCAACAATTCACTCGGCTTGGTCGGCTCCAGGCGTTGGCGGAGTCGGCGTGCGCGGGCTCGTCGGTGTCGGACCTGCTTCGTCGCAGGGCTGCGTCGGCGCGGCTTCGGCACTGCTGGGCGGCGATGTAGAGGCGCCGTCTGGGCTTGGCGTCCGTGTGATCGTGGGCGTCATCGGCGTCGTCGGCGTTGCCGTCGGCAGCTCGTTCAGGATAAGGCCGCGTTGCACCAGGTACCACGCCTTGAACTTCTCGTCATTGCTCTGGAGCATGTCCGTCCCGCTCATCAGAAAAGCCATGTTGGTGTTCCTCTTCTTCGCGGCGACGTTCGTCCGGAGCAGGTCGAGCTTGATGGCGTTGTTCTTCATAAGCGACGACCACCGCGCCTCGGTCTTCTCTTCGCGTAGGACGGCCCGGGCCTGGGCGTCGGCGAGGCAATGCTCGATGGACTCCTGCACTCGCGTGGTTGTCGTGTCGGCGCTTTTCCCCTTCTTTGCCAACTTGTGGCCGTCCGGCCGTCCCTCTGACGCGCCCGGAGTCGTCGCGTATGGCTTGTATGTCTCCTTGGCCTTGTCGAGGGCACGCCGGACTTCCGCCCACTTCTCGCACTTGTCAATGCGCTTGTAGACGTGGAGGTGCTTGAAGTCGGCGTCTTGGTTGTCGCCCCGATACATGGCGAACATACGCAGCAGCTGCGCAGAGAGACAAACAGTTGGCGGGCGGCGGGCGTAGGGGACGAAGATATGCTGGCGAACGGCGTGCGTACCTGATCCTCAATGCTGGCGCCGCTCTCCGGGCGAGCCGCGACCTCCTCGACGATTCCATGCCATTTGTTGCACGCCAACTGGATACGCCCCCAATGGTTCTCCATCGCCTTGGAGCCGCGCTGCATGTACACGCCTTTGAAGTAGGGGTCGACGAGCTTCCGCTCGTCGAACTCGGCCTTGATGCGGTCCCAGTACGTGTCCAAGCTTTGGTTCGCGCCGGTGGTCGGGTCGAGGCAGACGACTTTCCATGCTTCGGCGAGGCATTCCTCCTCCTTGGACGTTCACTTGATGCGCGGTTCGCCTGACCTAGCCGCCCGCTTCTTCTTCTTCTGGCGCCCCTTCGTCGGAACAGGAGTCGGTTCCTCCTCCTCCTCCTCCTCCTCGTCCTCCTCCTCCTCGGGTTCCTGCGCGTCGTCGCCGTAGACGTAGCCGAGCTCGGCCTCCATGTCGCCGCTGAGGTCCACTACCTCGTCCTGGGTGGCGAACCTGGGAGACTCAGCGGCCGCGGCCGATCCTGCCGCGATGATGTCGTCCATGTCGGCTCCCGTGTCGTCGGCGTCGCCGAGGTGCGAGAAGGGTAGCGGTCCGCGGTAGAGATGGGGCGTCGGTGTGGACGCGTAGGAGGCGGGCGGCGAGTAGTTGTATGGAGGATACTGCACGCCGACGAAGGCGGGCGAGGGCGTGCGCGTAGCGAGGTGACCATGAGGGAAGGTCACGTTTGGGTTGAACCCGCCGTGCGCGTCGCCGTCGGTGTAGCCGGGCGACGATGAACCCCATGGAGATCCGGCGCCTTGCTGTCCCGAGGGCGCGTACTGGGCGTGGCTGACGACAGGTGGATTCATTCCCGCCTGGTCGACCGATGAGGAAGACGCCGCCGCGCGCGCCGCGTTGTCGCGGGCCTTCTTGGCTATGGCCCTGTTCCGCCTGTCGGCGGTGACCGCTTCGCGCCGCTGAACTTCCACCCTCCACTCGGCGTTCGACAGGCCCGATGGCTTCGATGGCGGCGCCCTCGGCTTCCTCTGCTTCGGCTGGACCACGGCGCCAGTCGCGGTTGCCGCCGCGCGCGGCATGGCGTACTTCTTCGGCGGCATGGCGTGCTTCTTCGCGGCGAGCGGGAGGGGGTTTGGCGGGAGAAAAGGATAGAATGGCGGGAGGAAGGCGAGCGAGCGGGAGAGATGCGAGGGAAAAGCGTCAAGAAACGACGGGAAAAGACCCTCGGGTCGCTTCCAGGGCGGGCCCACGTGCCTTTTTCGCTTGCGCCGGCTCCCCAAACGCCCCCCGGGTGCCGGGTTTGGCCTGGGTCCGCCGGCACCAGTTTTGGCCCGAGCCGGCGAAAAACGGGCTTCTGGGGGCGCGACTGGGGCCTTTTTTTTGCGCCGGCGCGGCAAAAACGCCTGGGGAGGGTCTGTTGGGGGCGCGGCTGGAGATGCCCTGAGGTTGGCACGATGCCAAGCTCGATTGGAAATTCAAAACCCAAGCAGTAGAAAAACAATTAAAAAGAATAAGTAGTGTACTGGTTCTATT